TAAAAAACAGGAACAGCACACACCAACTGCTGAAACTTCCTTAGCCTGACAAAGGGTTTTTGAACCCAAAAGCTTGCTTAATAATTGTTTTCCAACTATTTAAGTTGGTGTAATAAAAGATATCAGATTCACCCAAAGAACCTTGTCTGCTTTAGAAAACAGCATTTGGATTTGATTCTTCTGCACTGCTGTGTTAGAGGTTTCTTTAATATCTATGATTTGGGTTGATTTACAAGTTCAGGGCTCTACACCGCCACACTTGTATGTCATTTAGTAGTCGTCACAGGAAGGCAGCTCTTGAGGACAACTGTAAAGAAGCTGCCCTCTCGGTGGTTCACCTCTCTCAACAAGGCCACTTACAGGTCAGAGTCAGGAGCCCATGTTTTTTTCCTTTGCTCTCTGAATGAAAGTTCTTTTCCAACCCCACAAGGAGTGTGAAGATCCTTATAATTTTCTATCATTCACAATTCAACCCCACAGTGATGGGCACGACTCCTTTTTGGGGCCAACGTGAATGCTCTATAGCTGTATAAAGTACCCGTCTTCCTAAGAAACAGGCACATAGTCTCCATTGCAAAACCCAGGCTAGGATTTGAATGCCAGTCTTCCACACCATGCTACCAGGAGGCCTCCAAGTTGAGCAACAGGCCATAATACAAAGGGTAGAATTACTTAATATTATTTTCAGACTGCACAAGTCCATTCGGCCATCCTCACTAGGAGTAAACTACCTGAGTTTGTATGGTTATTGTGGTACTTTGGATTGATCCCTAAAATCAACTACAGGGAGAAGAGAGTTTGCAGGTTACCACAAGAAACCTCAGTTGTTGGCTGCAAATTGGAAATCTAAGCCTTGTTAGAGATAAGTGTTTCCGTTTGCCTAATCAGGTCAGAAGAGGGGTGGAGATACAGGGGCAAAAAGTTTATGTCTTAAGAGAAGCAAACTAAATTCTCATAGGGCTTGAAATAAAAAATAAATAAAAAAAAAAAAGATTGGACTTGAGGAAGGGTGTGCAGAAAGTCAGCAGCTGTTTGAATACTTCTGTTTGACTCTCCCTGGTGAGGTCACCAGAGACTGAGCACATCTTTGGACCAGTTCCCCAAAACCAAGCACAGATTTGGAAGTTGTAAGCATAACCCTTGGGCGTATGTGTGGGGAGGGGTTGTCAGGCCCAAATGCCACATTCCATCCTGAGTCACTTAAAGGCTCATAGAAGGAGCACTCAGGCTCTCAAAAAGGAAAAAGTTACATGCATTGACTGATCCTGCTTCCTGTAACCTAAGCTAAATGATCCCCTGAGAGGGTTCTTCTGGGACACATCTCTGAAGAGCCCTTGCACATCTCTTTGGAGGAAACAGCTCCACGCACACTACCAACCAAGCCGGTTTCAAAAGACAATCCAGACTACCCAAGCAGGCAGGAAGCTGACAAGACTGCAGCCAAGAGCGTGCCACTCATCTGCTTACTTTGTTCACGGTCTTCTCTGGCGTTTTCACTGGCGGCTCAGCCTGTTTGCCTTTCTTTGACGGTGTCCGCTTTATTTTTGGTGAATGAAACTTGTCTATCAGCTTCATGGTGAATGAGGAGAGATGGGAGCGCTGAGAATCTGAAAAGAAGCACAGAGATGAATTATGAGATGGGGGTATATTTGCCTGGGGCAGGCTGGTGGCACTATCAACCTATCTACAGGGGCAGACTCCGAAACACAGAGTAGGCCTGGTAAATGTACGGGGTAGGGACAGGACCAGAACACGTGAAAGCCAGTCATCACTCATCACCCCTTCTCAACCCAGACACAGCTATTGTGAAAGGCAGACAGATGAGCAATGGGGCTGCTCTTCTTCCATTATTTAACGAACCAATTGCCTCCAATTATTTCCTATATAGTACTTTTCCTCAGTAGGTCTCAAAGAGGTAAATCATTATCCCTATTTGGCAGACAGGGAAACTGAGCCTGAGAAACCACCTGACTTGCCTGCAATCACCCAGTAGGCTCACGACAGAGCCAGGAATAGTGCTGTGGTCTCCTGAGTGCCAGGCTGATACTGAACTCACCAGGAAACAAAGTCTTTAGTGCTTTTGGTATGACAAGTCTGACCCAAGTTGTTTCAACGCTGACACTGGGTCTCAGCTCAAAAAGGACCATGAGAAGGCAAGTCTGCTCCCATATCGGTCACTCTTACAGAAGTTTAATTAGAGAACTGAGTAAAGCAATATCCTCATGGAAGAACACACTTCTGTTTGGGGGAAGCAAATCAAGTGTTTTTGAGCTTTGTGAGCATCTGAAAAAGAAAGACTTCCAAAGGTCTACGGTCCTGTTCCTTACAGACTTGCTGTTGGGATATTTTTTACTGTTCAGCTCTGAAGCTAAATAAAACTGCCGAACAGCGAGCAAGCTGGAGGGTATTTTAAGCAAAATGCATTTTAAGAGGTGAGATGGTGACCAAGAAAACTGCACTGGCAGGCAGTGGACTTGCCTTCAAGATCATTGTTGGTAGAAGCAAACGTCTCCCCTTAACCTTCCCTCATGCTGGGAATGGACTGCCCAAGTAAGAGAGAGATGGTTCCCACGTAGGCGCTGCTGCAGGTCGACTTCAAATAAGCAGATTTGACTCAGCAGCCTCTACCACTCGGCAGCTAAATATCACAAAGCCACGCTAACGCTACTCCACGTTCACCAAGTGCTAACCACAATGTGGGGGAAGGAGCCTCCCACGCTTTCTTCCTTAAATTCATTACTAGCCCTGCTGAGTAAATCACATCAAACTCCCTCCTCTTCATGCCACCTTCACTAGGGGCAGCTACACCAAATAAAAAGATACTTTAGGTTAAGTTTTTACAGGCCTTAAGCTCTGTGGTCACTGGTTACATCTGGGCAAGAGAAGAAACTGCATTCCTAGCAGCTACCTTCGATCAGTATTTAGTCCAAACACAAATGTCTTGCTCCACAAAGCGTGGAAAGGCCACTGTCAGGCTGAAAATAGCGGCAGCTGTATAAAAATAAGCTTTTACTGAGCTTGAGACCAAGAGCAACACCTCAAAATCTTACAGCAGAAACAGACTGTAGCATGCACGCGCGCGCGCGCACACACACACACACGCACTTACTTCCTCTAGCATTTGTCACCAAAGCATTATAGGTGAGCCTGGAACTGCTAATGACCAAATGTGGAGGAGGCAACACACCCAGTAAACCTGGTTAGTCGATGCCTCTTTTTGCAAGCTAATAAAGTCACAAGGAAAAAAAAAGCCAGCATAAAGAATGAAAAGGAAACTTTGGTACTAAAATATGCAGATTTGGTTTTTAAAAACAGGATCCAAAATCAGGTGCTGAACTTTATTTACTGCAGTATGAAAGCAAAGATGCTATTGTAGGCACTTAAATCCAGATGCAAGCACTTGAATAAAAGTGGACTGTCAAACTCAGTAAGCACGTCCAGCTCCCATTCATTTCACCAAGTGGTCAGTGCCTCCAAAAATCAAGTCCCTGTTACCAAGCACCTAATCCTTAGAAGGCCAAATCTGACATTTTGGGGTGCTGGATACTAATGTAGGTAGGAAAAGTTAAAATAGAAGATTTTTTTAAACACTTCCATGGACCCATTTTATGGCACAGGAGGCATCTTTCAACTTCCTCTCTCTCTTTCCATATACGAGTAAGCTCGATCAACACTGGAAGTAAAGAAGAAAAAAAAACTGCCAATACACAGCAGTGTGAGCACAAGAAATGCAACTGATTGAATCAAATCCATGTTCAGGTTTCAAGAAAAGGCAGTAAGAAGACGGTGCCCTTCAGCCGAGACTCATGCACTAAGCTTATTAACAGAAAGGGATGGCTGTTGGCACCTTTTGTTTTCTAAAATGAGATTCATGGTGTTTTAAACTCCTACACGCATTAAAGAACTTAAAAATCTAATAGCTGATAGAAAAAGTTATTAATAGGAATGTTTGCCTGAAAAAGTGAATACTTTTAAAAAAACAAAATCACCTACTTTGACTAATTTCCTTATGTCTGAGGTCAGTATGTTATGGCATCACACTTGTGGAAATGAACAAAACGTTACTCACAGGTCAGAGCTTCAGCAAGTTAGCAGCAGAAAAAGTAAACCCCTGCTTAAAACAAAAATGAATGGACAACCGGATGTAGCCTTATGCCAAGACTGATACAGGGAAAAATTTCTAACTGTAGACCAGGTTGGCAGACTAATTCTCTACTTGAACATTTCTTAAAAGTTTCCCATGTGCTGTCAGCTGCTGTTGAATTCCACAGAAGAGGGAAAGACTACAAATCATTGACCCTCGCAGACAAAACCAGGCACGCATCAATTGACCTCCTCCGAAATATCACTCACAGCAGCTGGCATCCTGACTTAGCAACAACTTGCGTCAATGCTTTGCGTCCATGAGGGGGGCTTTTAACTTTTAAAACCTTGTAGGCCCCACAGAGTGCTCAATGTTGCTGCTGATAGCAATTCCTGGCAGTTGCAAGAATGCGTTTGCTCTCTATTTTTGCAGAGGCACCAGTTGTATCTCCTTTGCACATACACACGTGCCAACAGAAGGCATGGCTCAGTCTTAAAAAAAAAACCAAACCAGGCACATACTGAAATTGCAATAAAGAATCCAGATGGAAAAGGATGTTAGCAGCTATGGATAGCACTGGTGTTTCCTCCAACACTCATAGGAGAGGACCGTATTTGACAAAGCAGCACTTCTTAAGTTCAGATGACGTTTAATGCATGTATCCTCTCAAGATGCCCTCCCTATTTAATGATCGTAAACAGTGCAGCTCATTAGTACTTTGACCTTTCATCTTCAACAAGTGTCTTTCTCTAACCCAACTGTTTACACGATTATATTGCATTTGCCTTTAAAATAATGGATCACTCTACACATTTTCCTAAGGAGCCTGGGTG